TCAGATGTGACTCTCAGCCAGCCGGGGAAACAGAGGTTTATTAGACGACAGGAACATGGTCTAAAACAGAGCTTGTAGGTACAGAGAAAAGGACCCCTCAGTCAGGTCCGTCTTGGGGCGGGGTGGGGGGGGGCAGGAAGACCAGAGCCGCATCTGAGCCTCCCCCCATTTCCACAGCCAGCTCCAAACTGAAACTCTCCAGCCCCTCCTCCTCTGGGCTTTGTCTCTTTCCTGGGCCAGGAGGCCACCTGATCTCTTTGTTCTCCAACACCTTCAGTTGGCACCTTTGTAGAGGAGGGGCCCAGCCCATCAGTTGCCAGGAGACAGGGTGTCGGCCATTCTCTGTGCAGACACCATCCCACTGGCCCCCTAGGGCTCAGCCACAATCACACCCCCTTATCTCACCACCTGGATACTTAAGAACTGCATAGGGGAAACTGAGGCACCCACACAGTATTCAGAGAAAACATTAAGAACATTCCCACTTTGTCACAGAGGTCCACAACCTTTGCACCTGGCAAGCAATTCACTAGGTGGTTCTCCTGGTCATCACAAATCCAACTATTTCTAATAATCAAATCCCCATTACTATTACTTCTGCAGTTAGTAAAAATGATACTAAGGTGCAATTTAGAACTCTTATTACAGAGTTTTATTTATTTTGTATAAGCAGCAGTTCACTCCAGGGACTACAGCTTTGTACTTTACAAAGAACACCAAGCTTTTGAACTGAGGCCCCGTTTATTACAGAAAAATGCCCACTCCAATACCACAGCGTGTTTGGAGTTGAAGCCTGAGTCTGTGCATGGGACTGAGTTTGATGAAAGAATTTGCTTAAATGGTGATTTCCAAGACACGAGGCCTTGCCATTTGTTGTTATGTGTTTTTGTCAAGGTTCCTCCCCCACTCTGAAGTTTTGTTTAAGTATTAACCATCCCTTCCCCTCTTCTTTGTATGGGGGTATCTGGCTGTTCATTGGTCGGTGATTTCGGGAACTATGAACTATTTCCTCTCCATCCAGAATTTGCTCTTTCCAGAATTGCCTGTTTTACCCCCCACCTGGTTGCAAATCCAAGGAATTACATAATCTGTGCATTGGAGTGATGCCTATCAGTGTGGTACCTCTGAGAGCACCTGAAGGGCTCACTTTTCTTTTAACCCTGACAGGGTGCACACCCCCCCCCCCCCCCGGCAGCGATGCATCTGCTCAGCCAAGCAGCAACTCTGAGCAGCAGCAGAGCCCAACACAAAAGAGAAGACCCCGCTATACTGCCCCCTCCCCCCCCAGCCTCCTTTATGTGTCTGCATGGCCCTCCCACTCCCCCAAGGGCAGGAGGAGGCTGGCTCTATGCTGGCCTTGGCTGAGGAGGGTTTGGTCTGAGGCAGGTCTTTTTCCAGCCACTGTTCTGGGACAGTGAATTGAAGAGGTTACTATCAGAAGCCATGGAAGGTGGGGGGCGGGGGGGACCTGGCACTGAGATGCTGAGGTGCAACTCTGTGCACTGAGGGGCCCTCACAAAGGGCTGAATGTATGCATCGGGGAAGAGCCTGGAGCACTGAGGCCGAGCTTGAGGTCGAGTGGGAAGGGCAGTGCAGGGGAGCTGGCTGAGAATCCTGCCTTTCATCACCTTTCCCACTATTGCGGGCAGCTGGCTGGTGACTGATGTTGACCAGAGGAAACCCCAACCCCCCCCCTACGTTTACAGCCCCCAGTCCCCAGAGCAGACAGCAGGAGGGGGGCCCTGTGGTGATGGGGCTGCAAAGCCCTTTGAGAGCCACCAGGCCTGGGCCCCTGGAATGCTTCCACCTGTCCGACCCCGCTCCTCCTCCGTGTCCCACCCCCCCACACACCCCTGTGCCCCACTCTTCTCTCTCTTCACCACTCTGCCCTGCCCCTCACTCTTCTCTGCCCGCTAGTCTGTCCCCTCTCGATGTCCCGAGGCCGAGGCCGTGTCCCTGTTCCACAGGTATCCCAGCCCTGGCTCCTTGCAGCCATTCACAGGCGCCTGCGGGGCGGGAGCTGGAGCAGAGACAGGGAGGAAGCTCGGTTCTGCTGAAATAGGGAGGCTGGCTCAGCAAAGGGCAGGGGGGGATTCCCAGCGTCCCCACCCCCTTCGTAGAGCAGGAGGGGCACAGAATAAATTACACAAACCTCAGCACAACCCCTGGGGCTGACATTCACCCTCCCCAACGCCATGCACGTCCCCCGCCTCCCACATAAACCATCAGGCCCTGTCCTCCCCCGCCTCCCCCGGGCACTGCCCCCACCTGCCTCCCACACAAACCACCAGGTCCCTAACCCCCCGCCTCCCCTGGGCACTGCCCCCCCTCCGGACACTGCCCCCGCCTCCCCTGGGCACTGCTCCCCCTCCGGACACTGCCCCCGCCTCCCCTGGGCACTGCTCCCCCTCCCTACACACCCCTCCTCCGGACGCTGCCCCCGCCTCCCCTGGGCACTGCCCCCCCTCCGGACACTGCCCCCGCCTCCCCTGGGCACTGCTCCCCCTCCCTACACACCCCTCCTCCGGACGCTGCCCCCGCCTCCCCTGGGCACTGCTCCCCCTCCCTACACACCCCTCCTCCGGACGCTGCCCCCGCCTCCCCTGGGCACTGCCCCCCCTCCGGACACTGCCCCCGCCTCCCCTGGGCACTGCTCCCCCCTCCGGACACTGCCCCCGCCTCCCCTGGGCACTGCTCCCCCTCCCCTACACACCCCTCCTCCGGACGCTGCCCCCGCCTCCCCTGGGCACTGCCCCCCCCGGCCCCCCCCTCCCCCACTCCCCCTTCCTACACACCCCTCCTCCGGACGCTGCCCTCGCCTCCCCTGGGCACTGCCCCCCCTCCCTACACACCCCCCCTCCGGACGCTGCCCCCGCCTCCCCTGGGCACTGCTCCCCCCTCCGGACGCTGCCCCCGCCTCCCCTGGGCACTGCTCCCCCTCCGGACGCTGCCCCCGCCTCCCCTGGGCACTGCCCCCCCTCCCTACACACACCCCCTCCGGACGCTGCCCTCGCCTCCCCCGGACGCCTCCCCTGGACACTGTCCCCGTTTCTCACACAAACCACCAGGTCCCGCTCCCCACCGCCGCCCACATCACTACCCAGCACTGTTCTCCCAGCCCCTACTCCCAGGCCGTGGGCTTCCCCCAACTCCCTCAATACCCGGGGCACGGCCCTCACCTCTGACAGCCCTCAGGCACCGCTCCCATACAAACCACCATCCTGGCCTCCCAGGGCCCAGCCCTGCCCGCCGGCCCCACCCCCGGCGCTGCCCCCCAACACCGCCGCATTACCCCCGTCCCTGCACCAACACCCTGGCTCTGTGCTCAGCTTGCCCCCCAACCCCTAACACCCAGCGCTGCCCCCCAACCCCTGCCCCCCCGACACCCAGCGCTGCCCCCGACACACTGCCCCCCTGCCTCTGGCCCCCGAACCCCCAGCGCTGCCCCCCTGCACTCTGCCCCCCTGCCCCCTAACACCCAGCACTGCCCCCCCCCTGCCTCTGCCCCCCCCGACACCCAGCGCTGCCCCCCGACACACTGCCCCCCTGCCCCTGGCCCCCTAACACCCAGCGCTGCCCCCCTGCCCCCTCACCCACCTCCCCCTGCCTCTGCCCCCCCGACACCCAGCGCTGCCCCCCGACACACTGCCCCCCTGCCCCTGGCCCCCTAACACCCAGCGCTGCCCCCCTGCCTCTGCCCCCCCGACACCCAGCGCTGCCCCCCGACACACTGCCCCCCTGCCCCTGGCCCCCTAACCCCCAGCGCTGCCCCCCCTGCCTCTGCCCCCCCGACACCCAGCGCTGCCCCCCGACACACTGCCCCCCTGGCCCCCCCGACACCCAGCGCTGCCCCCCGACACACTGCCCCCCTGCCCCTGGCCCCCTAACACCCAGCACTGCCCCCCTGCCTCTGCCCCCCCGACACCCAGCGCTGCCCCCCGACACACTGCCCCCCTGGCCCCCTAACACCCAGCACTGCCCCCCTGCCTCTGCCCCCCCGACACCCAGCGCTGCCCCCCGACACACTGCCCCCCTGGCCCCCTAACACCCAGCGCTGCCCCCCAACCCCTGCTCCCCCGACACTCAGCGATGCCCCCCGACACGCTGCCCCCCTGCCCCTGGCCCCCTAACACCCAGCACTGCCCCCCTGCCTCTGCCCCCCCGACACCCAGCGCTGCCCCCCGACACACTGCCCCCCTGGCCCCCTAACACCCAGCGCTGCCCCCAATCCCTGCTCCCCCGACACCCAGCGCTGCCCCCCGACACACTGCCCCCTGGCCCCCTAACACCCAGCGCTGCCCCCAACCCCTGCTCCCCCGACACCCAGCGCTGCCCCCCGACACGCTGCCCCCCTGCCCCTGCCCCCCCAACACCCAGCGCTGCCCCCCAACCTCTGCCCCTGACACCTGGTGCTGCCCCCTGACCCCTGTCCCCCCCCGACACCCAGCGCTGCCCCTCTGACACCCAGCGCTGCCCCCCAACCTCTGCCCCTGACACCCGGCGCCGCCCCCCGACCCCCAGCGCCGCCCCCCGGCCCTAGCCCCCGGGCGCCGCCCCCCAGCCGCGGCACGTGGCTCTGCCCCACACGCAGGCCGGCCAGGGCAGCGCTGGGCGGGTGGCCCCGGGCCGGGCCGGGCCGGGCCGTGCCGGCCGGGGAGGCGGCGAGTCCCCGCCCGCCGAGGGGCGGAGCCGCGGCCGCCGAGAGGCACCTGCCGCCCGGCCTGTGCGAGCGGCGGCGCCGGAGGGAGCCGAGCCCCGCGGGGCGCCGCGCCCGGGCCATGCGCCGGCGGCAGCCCGCAGGCAGCGCGGCGGGGCGGCGCGGAGCCATGGAGCCGCCCGCGGCCGGCGGCCCCCGGGGCCCGGGCCGGGCCGGAGCCGCGCCAGGGCGGCCGCTGGCGGGGCTGCGCTGAGCCCCGCGCCCCCGCCATGGCGCTGCCCCGCGGCGGGCCGGGCTGCGCGCTGCCGGGCATCAGCACCGTAACCTATGTCTTCGTTTACAGCCCCAGCGGCGGCCAGGGCGCCCCCCGCGGCCGGGGCCGGGGCCGGGGCCGGGGCCCGAGCCCGCCCGCCACGCCGCGCCCGCCGCCCTGCGCGGGCCCAAGCGCAAGTTGTACAGCGCCGTGCCCGGCCGCAGGTTCATCGTGGTCAAGAGCTACACGCCGCAGGGCGAGGGCGAGATCCAGCTGAACCGGGGCGAAGCCATCAAGGGTGAGTGCGGGGTGGGCAGGGCACGGCCGCGGTGCAGGGGGTGGGAGCGGGCAGGGTGCCCGTGGGCAGCGCTGATCGAGGGGTGCTGGGCACGGCCGGGGGACAGGGGGTGGGAGCGGGCAGGGTGCCCGTGGGCAGCGCTGATCGAGGGGTGCTGGGCACGGCCGCGGTGCAGGGGGTGGGAGCGGGCAGGGGCGCCCGTGGGCAGCGCTGATCGAGGGGTGCTGGGCACGGCCGGGGGACAGGGGGTGGGAGCAGGCGGGCATCGTGGACACCTGATCGAGGGGTGCTGGGACGGCCGGGGGTAGGGGGTGGGAGCAGGCAGGGTGCCTGTGGGCAGCGCTGATCGAGGGGTGCTGGGCACAGCCGGGGGGCAGGGGGTGGGAGCAGGCGGGCGCCCGTGGGCAGCGCTGATCGAGGGGTGCTGGGCACGGCCGGGGCACAGGGGGTGGGAGCAGGCAGGGTGCCCGTGGGCAGTGCTGATCGAGGGGTGCTGGGCACGGCCGGGGGGCAGGGGGTGGGAGCGGGCAGGGTGCCTGTGGGCAGTGCTGATCGAGGGGTGCTGGGCACGGCCGGGGGGCAGGGGGTGGGAGCAGGCAGGGGTGCTCGTGGACAGCGCTGATCGAGGGGTGCTGGGCACGGCCGGGGGGCAGGCGGTGGGAGCGGGCAGGGGTGCCCGTAGGCAGCGCTGATCGAGGGGTGCTGGGCACGGCCGCGGTGCAGGGGGTGGGAGCGGGCAGGGGCGCCCGTGGACAGTGCTGATCGAGGGGTGCTGGGCACGGCCGGGGGGCAGGGGGTGGGAGCAGGCAGGGTGCCTGTGGGCAGCGCTGATCGAGGGATGCTGGGTACGGCCGGGGGCAGGGGGTGGGAGCAGGCAGGGGCACCCGTGGGCAGTGCTGATCGAGGGGTGCTGGGCATGGCCGGGGGGCAGGGGGTGGGAGCAGGCAGGGTGCCTGTGGGCAGCGCTGATCGAGGGATGCTGGGCACGGCCGGGGGGCAGGGGGTGGGAGCGGGCAGGGGCACCCGTGGGCAGTGCTGATCGAGGGGTGCTGGGCACGGCCGGGGGGCAGGGGGTGGGAGCAGGCAGGGGTGCTCGTGGACAGCGCTGATCGAGGGGTGCTGGGCATGGGCAGGGTGGGAGTGGGCAGGGGCACCCGTGGGCAGCAGAGATCAAGGGGTGCGGGGCACGGTCCCGGTGCAGGGGGTGGGAGCGGGCAGGGGCACCCGTGGGCAGTGCTGATCGAGGGGTTCTGGGCACGGCCGGGGAGCAGGGGGTGGGAGTGGGCAGGGACACCCGTCGGCAGTGCTGATCGAGGGGTGCTGGGCATGGTCAGGGTGGGAGTGGGCAGGGGTGCCCATGAGCAGCGCTGATCGAGGGGTTCTGGGCACGGCTGGGGGGCAGGGGGTGGGTGCGGGTAGGGACACCTGTGGGCAGCAGAGATCAAGGGGTGCTGGGCACGGTCAGCGTGGGAGCGGGCAGGGGTGCCCATGGTCAGCGCTGATCGAGGGGTGCTGGGCACGGCCGGGGGGCAGGCGGTGGGAGCAGGCAGGGGTGCCTGTGGGCAGTGCTGATCGAGGGGTGCTGGGCACGGTCAGGGTGGGAGCGGGCAGGGGCACCCATGGGCAGTGCTGATCGAGGGGTGCTGGGCACGGCCGGGGTGCAGGGGGTGGGAGCGGGCAGGGGCGCCCGTGGGCAGCGCTGATCAAGGGGTCCTGGGCACAGCCGGGGGGCAGGGGGTGGGAGCAGGCGGGTGCTCGTGGACAGCGCTGATCGAGGGGTGCTGGGCACGGCCGGGGGGCAGGCGGTGGGAGCGGGCAGGGGTGCCCGTAGGCAGCGCTAATCGAGGGGTGCTGGGCACGGCCGCGGTGCAGGGGGTGGGAGCGGGCAGGGGCGCCCGTGGACAGTGCTGATCGAGGGGTGCTGGGCACAGCCGGGGGGTAGGGGGTGGGAGCGGGCAGGGGCACCCGTGGGCAGTGCTGATTGAGGGGTGCTGGGCATGGTAAGGGTGCAGGGGGTGGGAGCGGGCAGGGGCACCCATGGGCAGTGCTGATCGAGGGGTGCTGGGCAGAGCACGGTTGGGGTGTAGGGGGTGGGAGTTTGCAGGGGCGCCAGTGGGCAGCGCTGATCAAGGGGCCCTGGGCATGGCCGGGGTGGGAGCGGGCAGGGGCACCCGTGGGCAGCAGTGATCGAGTGGTGCTGGGCATGGCCCGGGTGCAGGGGGTGGGAGCGGGCAGGGGTATCCCGTGGGCAGCACTGATCGAGGGGCCCTGGGCACAGCTGGGGTGCAGGGGGTGGGAGCGGGTAGGGGAACCCTGTGGGCAGCGCTGGGCCCTGGGCATGGCCAAGCTGCAGAGTTTGTAAGCGCGTATGGGGAGTCCTGTAGTGGGATAGGGCAGCATGGGACCCCGCTGACCCAGGGCAGTGGTCAAGGGCCCAGAGCAAAGCTGTGTGCAGGCAAACGGTGAAATCCTAGCGGATCTTAAGCATAAAAAAGAAGCTTACAAGAAGTGGAAGGTTGGACATATGACCAGGGAAGAGTATAAAAATATTGCTCGGGCATGTAGGAATTAAATCAGGAGGGCCAAATCGCACCTGGAGCTGCAGCTAGCGAGAGATGTTAAGAGTAACAAGAAGGGTTTCTTCAGGTATGTTGGCAACAAGAAGAAAGCCAAGGAAAGTGTGGGCCCCTTAATGAATGAGGGAGGCAACCTAGTGACGGAGGATGTGGAAAAAGCTAATGTACTCAATGCTTTTTTTGCCTCTGTCTTCACGAACAAGGTCAGCTCCCAGACTGCTATGCTGGGCATCACAACATGGGGAATAGATGGCCAGCCCTCTGTGGAGAAAGAGGTGGTTAGGGACTATTTAGAAAAGCTGGATGTGCACAAGTCCATGGGGCCGGACGAGTTGCATCCGAGAGTGCTAAAGGAACTGGCGGCTGTGATTGCAGAGCCATTGGCCATTATCTTTAAAAACTCGTGGCGAACGGGGGAAGTCCCGGACGAGTGGAAAAAGGCTAATGTAGTGCCAATCTTTAAAAAAGGGAAGAAGGAGGATCTTGGGAACTACAGGCCAGTCAGCCTCACTTCAGTCCCTGGAAAAATCATGGAGCAGGTCCTCGAAGAATCAATCCTGAAGCACTTACATGAGAGGAAGGTGATCAGGAACAGTCAGCATGGATTCACCAAGGGAAGGTCATGCCTGACTAATCTAATCGCCTTCTATGATGAGATTACTGGTTCTGTGGATGAAGGGAAAGCAGTGGATGTATTATATCTTGACTTTAGCAAAGCTTTTGACACGGTCTCCCACAGTATTCTTGTCAGCAAGTTAAGGAAGTATGGGCTGGATGAATGCACCATAAGGTGGGTAGAAAGCTGGCTAGATTGTCGGGCTCAACGGGTAGTTATCAATGGCTCCATGTCTAGTTGGCAGCCGGTATCAAGTGGAGTGCCCCAAGGGTCGGTCCTGGGGCCGGTTTTGTTCAATATCTTCATAAATGATCTGGAGGATGGTGTGGATTGCACTCTCAGCAAATTTGCGGATGATACTAAACTGGGAGGAGTGGTAGATACGCTGCAGGGCAGGGTTAGGATACAGAGGGACCTAGACAAATTGGAGGATTGGGCCAAAAGAAATCTGATGAGGTTCAATAAGGATAAGTGCAGGGTCCTGCACTTAGGACGGAAGAACCCAATGCACAGCTACAGACTAGGGACCGAATGGCTCGGCAGCAGTTCTGCGGAAAAGGACCTAGGGGTGACAGTGGACGAGAAGCTGGATATGAGCCAGCAGTGTGCCCTTGTTGCCAAGAAGGCCAATGGCATTTTGGGATGTATAAGTAGGGGCATAGCGAGCAGATCGAGGGACGTGATCGTTCCCCTCTATTCGACATTGGTGAGGCCTCATCTGGAGTACTGTGTCCAGTTTTGGGCCCCACACTACAAGAAGGATGTGGATAAATTGGAGAGAGTCCAGCGAAGGGCAACAAAAATGATTAGGGGTCTGGAACACATGAATTACGAGGAGAGGCAGGCTGAGGGAACTGGGATTGTTTAGTCTGCAGAAGAGAAGAATGAGGGGGGATTTGATAGATGCTTTCAACTACCTGAGAGGTAGTTCCAGAGAGGATGGTTCTAGACTATTCTCAGTGGTGGAAGAGGACAGGACAAGGAGTAATAGTCTCAAGTTGCAGTGGGGGAGGTTCAGGTTGGATATTAGGAAAAACTTTTTCACTCGGAGGGTGGTGAAACACTGGAATGCGTTGCCTAGGGAGGTGGTGGAATCTCCTTCCTTAGAAGTTTTTAAGGTCAGGCTTGACAAAGCCCTGGCTGGGATGATTTAATTGGGGATGGGTCCTGCTTTTGAGCAGGGGGTTGGACTAGATGACCTCCTGAGGTCCCTTCCAACCCTGATATTCTATGATTCTAAAGTGCAGTCAGCAGCTGGACAAGGGGCTGGTTCCGGTTCGCAGCAGATCCCCTCTCGGCTCTGTGGAGGGAGGGGCCAACAGAAGTTGGTGGTTGCTTGCCTGACTGGGAACATTCCTGTGTCGGCTGCCTTTGGGGTGGCCCCGTTGGGTATGCATCTCCTTAGTCATGTTTGTCTTTAGTGGGGTCTGCTTCGTACGGGAGAATTTCCCTCAGGGTTACCCACTCCTCTTCGAAATAGGAAGTGCAGCGAAGATGATTTGGGGGACTGCAGAAACTTACAGTTTTGCTGCACATTCTTGCTGTGCTCCATGCATGTTTCAGGGCATGGGGGTGAAGGCAAAGAGTTCCAGTGACTCCCAGACTCTGCTCACTGGGGTTTTGTCAGTATCAAGTGTTCACAAAACTGCTGAAGTGGTGAAGCGGAGGCTGGAAGCTTCCTTTGCTTGGAAGCTGCTCCTCATGGGGTATTCTCATCCTGGCAGAGATGGCGGGGCCTTACCCTGGTGCATATGATTCTATGGATTATCCTCTTGCACACACCGTTCCTGATGACTGTCTGAGATTTT